TTAACGATCGATAGTAGTTAATAATCGATTACGAATAGTTAATAATCGATTACGAATAGTTGATAATCGATAACGAATAGTTAATAATCGATAACGAATAGTTAATAATCGGTTACGAATAGTTAGTATTAGATTACGAATAGTTAATAATCGACTACGAATAGTTAATAATCTATAACGAATAGTTAACGATCCATTACGAATAGTTAATAATCGATTACGAACAGTTGATGTTCGAATACGAATAGTTAACGACCGAATAGTTAATAATCGATAACGAATAGTTAATAATCGATAACGAATAGTTAATAATCGATAACGAATAGTTAATAATCGATTACGAATAGTTAACGATCACTACGAATAGTTAATAGTCGTAGTAGTAGATTATTAACTATTCGTTATTGATCGTTAACTATTCGTTATCGATCGAATAGTTAATGATCGATTACGAATAGTTAATAATCGATTACGAATAGCTAATAATCGATAACGAATAGTTAATAATCGACAACCAATAGTTAATAATCTATTACGAATAGTTAATAATCGATTACGAATAGTTAATAATCGATTAGGAATAGTTAATAATCGACTACGAATAGTTAGTATTCGACTAAGAATAGTTAGTATTCGATTACGAATAGTTAATGATATATTACGAATAGTTAATATTCGATTACGAATAGTTAATAATCGACTACGAATAGTTAGTATTCGATTACGAATAGTTAATGATATATTACGAATAGTTAATATTCTGTTAAGAATAGTTAGTATTTGATTACGAATAATTAGTAATCGATTACGAATAGTTAATATTCGATTACGGATAGTTAACAATCGATTAGGAATAGTTAATCGATTACGATTAATAATCGATAACGAATAGTTAATAATCGACTACGAATAGTTAATAATCGATTACGAATAGTTAGTATTCGATTACGAATAATTAATAATCGATTACGAATAGTTAATAATCTATGACGAATAGATAACGATCCATTATGAATAGATAATAATCGATTACGAATAGTTGACATTCGATTACGAATAGTTAACGATCGAATAGTTAATAATCTATTACGAATAGTTAATAATCGATTACGAATAGTTAGTATTCGATTACGAATAGTTAGTATTCGATTACGAATAGTTAGTATTCGATTACGAATAGTTAATGATAGATTCCGAATAGTTAATCGATTACGAATAGTTAACGATCGATTACGAATAGTTAATAGTCGTAGTAGTGGATTATTAACTATTCGTTATCGATCGTTAACTATTCGTTATCGATCGAATAGTTAACAATCGATTACGAATAGTTAATAATCGATTACGAATAGTTAATAATCGATTACGAATAGTTAACGATCCATTACGAATAGTTAATAATCGATTACGAATAGTTAGTATTCAATTACGAATAGTTAATGATAGATTCCGAATAGCTAATCGATTACCAATAGATAATATTCGATTACGAATAGTTAGTATTCGATTACGAATAGTTAATGATAGATTCCGAATAGTTAATCGATTACGAATAGTTAACGATCGATAGTAGTTAATAATCGATTACGAATAGTTAATAATCGATTACGAATAGTTGATAATCGATAACGAATAGTTAATAATCGACAACGAATACTTAATAATCGATTACCAATAGTTAATAATAGATTACGAATAGTCAGTATTAGATTACGAATAGTTAATAATCGACTACGAATAGTTAATGATCTATAACGAATAGTTAACGATCAATTACGAATAGTTAATAATCGATTACGAACAGTTGATGTTCGAATACGAATAGTTAACGATCGAATAGTTAATAATCGATAACGAATAATTAATAATCGATTACGAATAGTTAATAATCGATTACGAATAGTTAACGATCACTACGAATAGTTAATAGTCGTAGTAGTAGATCATTAACTATTCGTTATCGATCGTTAACTATTCGTTCTCGATCGAATAGTTAATGATCGATTACGAATAGCTAATAATCGATAACGAATAGTTAATAATCGATTAGGAATAGTTAATAATCGATTAGGAATAGTTAATAATCGACTACGAATAGTTAGTATTCGACTAAGAATAGTTAGTATTCGATTACGAATAGTTAATGATATATTACGAATAGTTAATATTCTGTTACGAATAGTTAGTATTCGATTACGAATAGTTAATAATCGATCACGAATAGTTAGTATTCGATTACGAATAGTTAATAATCGACTATGAATAGTTAGTATTCGATTACGAATAGTTAATGATATATTACCAATAGTTAATATTCTGTTAAGAATAGTTCGTATTCGATTACGAATAATTAGTAATCGATTACGAATAGTTAATATTTGATTACGGATAGTTAACAATCGATTAGGAATAGTTAATCGATTACGATTAATAATCGATAACGAATAGTTAATAATCGACTACGAATAGTTAATAATCGATTACGAATAGTTAATAATCGATTACGAATAATTAATAATCGATTACGAATAGTTAATAATCGATTACGAATAGTTAATAATCGATTACGAATAGTTACTAATCGACTACGAATAGTTAATAATCGATTACGAATAGTTAGTATTCGATTACGAATAATTAATAATCGATTACGAATAGTTAATAATCTATGACGAATAGATAACGATCCATTATGAATAGTTAATAATCGATTACCAATAGTTGATATTCGATTACGAATAGTTAACGATCGAATAGTTAATAATCTATTACGAATAGTTAATAATCGATTACGAATAGTTAACAATCGATTAGGAATAGTTAATAATCGACTACGAATAGTTAATAATCGACTACGAATAGTTAGTATTCGACTACGAATAGTTAGTATTCGATTACGAATAGTTAATGATATATTACGAATTGTTAATGATATATTACGAATAGTTAATATTCTGTTACGAATAGTTAGTATTCGATTACGAATAACTAATAAACGATTACGAATAGTTAATATTCGATTACGAATAGTTAACGATCGATTAGGAATAGTTAATCGATTACGATTAATAATCGATAACGAATAGTTAATAATCGATAGCGAATAGTTAATGATCCATTACGAATAGTTAGTATTCGATTACAAATAGTTAATGATAGATTACGAATAGTTAAGATTCTGTTACGAATAGTTAGTATTCGATTACGAATAGTTAATGATCGATTACGAATAGTTGATAATCGATTACGAATAGTAAACGATCGATTACGAATAGTTAATAGTCCTAGTAGTAGATTACTAACTATTCGTTATCGATCGAATAGTTAATAATCAATTACAAATAGTTAATAATCGATTAGGAATAGTGAATAATCAATTATGAATAGTTCATAATCGATTACGAATAGTTATTAATCGATTACGAATAGTTAATAATCGATTGCGAATAGTTAGTATTCGATTGCGAATAGTTAGTATTCGATTACGAATAGTTAATATTCGATTACGAATAGTTAACGAACGATTAGGAATAGTTAATCGATTACGATTAATAATCGATAACAAATAGTTAATAATCGATAACGAATATTTAATAATCGATTACGAATAGTTAATAATCGATAACGAATAGTTCATAATCGATTACGAATAGTTCATAATCGATTACGAACAGTTAATAATCGATTACGAATAGTTAATAATCGATTACGAATAATTAATAATCGACTACGAATAGTTAATAATCGAATATGAATAGTTAGTATTCGATTACGAATAATTAATAATGGATTACGAATAGTTAATAATCTATAACGATTAGTTAACGATCCATTACGAATAGTTAATAATCGATAACGAATAGTTAATAATCGAATACGGATAGTTAATAATCGACTACGAATAGTTAGTATTCGGTTACGAATAGTTAATGACATAGTACGAATAGTTAATATTCTGTTACGAATAGTTAGTATTCTATTACGAATAATTAATAATCGATTACGAATAGTTAATAATCTATAACGAATAGTTAACGATCGACTACGAATAGTTAATCCATTACGATTAATAATCGATAGCGAATAGTTAACGATCCATTACGAATAGTTAATAACCGATTACGAATAGTTAGTATTCGATTATGAATAGTTGGTATTCGATTACGAATAGTTAATGATAGATTACGAATAGTTAATATTCTGTTACGAATAGTTAGTATTCGATTACGAATAGTTAGTATTCGATTACGAATAGTTAATGATCGAGTACGAATAGTAAATAATCGGTTACGAATAGTTGATAATCGATTACGAATAGTTGATAATCGATTACGAATAGTTAATAATCGATTGCGAATAGTTAACGATCGATTACGTATAGTTAATAGTCGTAGTAGTAGATTATTAACTATTCGTTATCGATCGAATAGTTAATAATCGATAACGAATCGTTAATAATCGATAACGAATCGTTAATAACAGATTACGAATAGTTAAAATTCGGTTACGAATAGTTAGTATTCGATTACGAATAGTTAGTATTAGATTAGAATAGTTAATAATAGATAACGAGTCGTTAATAATCGATAACGAATAGTTAATAATCGATAACGAATAGTTAATAATGATAATCATCCGTTATCGATTATACTTTTTTATTCATTATCGATTATTATTCACTATCAATTAGTATTCGTTATCGATTATTATTACTATTAGCCAAGTAGGTCACTTTGTGACATCATTTTTTTATGTTCGATATGCATCCGAGATATTGTCATATTATTCTGAGTTAATAAGTACGGTCAAGGATTGATAAATCAATCTAATCTGGCGAATTTTCACCATATAACACATGAGAAAACAAAATGCGATGCATCAGATTCAAAGTGTGTACAGTGAACCACATAACACTCTGGTGCGACTAAAATTTGCTTATTGTCTTGAAGAACATTATGGTAAAACAACTGAGTGAGCAACTTGGCTGTGATGTATATTACCTTGTTCTTGTTTCGTTTTTTCCATGGCCGCGCACGCCGCTCGCCATTCTTGTAGCTCAGGAGAGGGTATCAGGCCCGCCGACCCGGCAGCATTGTCTTTCCTAGCCTGCCACCAGTGGTGGTCGTCCTTACTAATTATCTGTAACATAACAAACCGGTTAAGGGAAGATATCACCAGGTTTGTCAAATCAACAGTCCGTTATTCTCCACCTATAGGGTAACAGTCCATCAAATACAGCTTCAAGTTCCAATCAACTATTTTTAGTAACCAATAGCTATGAAATGTTTAAAACAAAATATTGTCAAAATATGAGATGACAGCTTGTCATTGAAACATCACCAGCTTATTGAATATTAAGAAATTACATATAATTCAGTCAAGATTTAAAAAAGTGTTTGTTGAATAAAATTCATGTTTTTGTTTAATATTGCAGATTGTTTATTCATGTTTATATTATTCTCTTCAATTGAAATGCGATTTTACTGATTTAACATCACTTGCTGTGTGTTTTTTCCTATAAACCTCTTGCAGATAGCCATTAAGCACCTACTTGATGACAGGCTCTACCAAGAGATATGTAGATATTGCTCGTTTCTAAACATTCATTAATTTACTTGCCGTTCATCAGTACCATTATAGCACCTTAGATTCTAATTCCCACAAAACCATTCAGGATTTTCGATATCCATACATCCATAAAGCCAAGTATTTGTCGTTGATCGGGAACTAAATAACTATCCACACTATATTTACAGCGATTGAGAAATATCCAATATATGTGGTAAAGCTATACCAGCAAACTTAAAACCTGCAAAAAACTAGAATTTGCAATAATTTTCTTATTTCACATCACGTTATTTCACGGAGGTTATATTTATATTAGACATTATTTGAGTAACAGCTGATTATTATATTTCAAAATTCCCCATACAAGTGACGAAGTGACACATGTGTGGGATCCGTCAACGCTTGGTCCCAGTCGAGTAAGATCCGCCAACTGTTGAAATATCCTCTACTAGGCTTTATAAGACTATACGTACAACATAATCGTTGCATAACACTCGAACAAATGCAAATGAAAATTTAAAATTATTTCCCTGACGCCACAAATAGCTCCGTAGGTACCTTGGGTTATACATCTTGACAGAAGGGATGTTCGATACGATCCTATATTTAGAAGTATCGATACTTTTGCTTCCCATACCCGATATATTGGATCGATATTTTTATATACGACATTTGGGTGAATTGATACACTTCACGTGTATCGTCATCTTCCGATCCGGACTGTGTCAGAAAGAGTTATTAACTTCAGATTACTTCTTTGTTTCCTTCCGCTGGATATCGATAATTTTATTTCCATATTTTAGAGTTTCGATATCTCCTAAAACGATAAGAGTCAATACATATCGATACTTTTCGTGGATCGAAACAAGCCTAATCTTGACAGCTTGTCGTTCAAAATTTGTATGACCGCCAACTATCTGGCAAAAGTCAGTAAGGTTATTTGAGATGTTGTTTCTTGTACTCCCTTATAAAAAGTTTTTTGTTTCACAAAAAAACCACACTGAAGTAAAATTTCAAACAACAAGTGAGGTTATGCAAAATGACAACGAAGGTTGTCACAATGACTTTTTCACGAGCTTCCATTACGGTAGAATTATAGCTGACTATCTAGTAATATTATATTTCAAAATTCCCCGAATGGACAAATGTCACATATTTTTGTTTTTGTTTTTTGTACGCTACAGATTCATTTTGTAGTTACTAATAACTCTTTTATTTAGAAAAGTTCATTTGCATACAAAAAACGCTACAAGCAAGTTTGACTAGATTAACACCCAATACATTATTGCCAGCATCACAGACAACACCTCAGTAGTCGTCAAAACGTGATGGATACTCGTGCAATAGGGTTTACAATTTCGGCAACTCAACTTATCAACTTGTCATATGTGAACATTTTGGTAGTTGTATATAACTTTTCATGTCAAGGTTAAGATCTTATATGGCGTAGCAAGCGATCTTAACGTAAGATGAAAGATGCAATAGTAACACACAATGAATCACTTTTTACTTTACCTGTAAAATATCACCAGTTTTGAAGGCAATCCCCGCTTGTGCGCACGGTATAAGGTCGTCCTGTAACGGATCGTAGTCAAATTGTGCTCTAACAAAAATCTGAAAACGAAAAAAACGAAATGCTTTAGGTCTCATGTGGAATACAAAAATATGAAAGACTGTACTGAATTTTATAGTCCACCAAAAGTGTCTTGGAAAGTATCGGTTTTCGCTTTTTATTTTATAGAAAACCTGAGCAGAGTCCAGAACATTCTATCGTGGGAGATGTATAAAGAGCGAGTCGCGATTTTGTACAAACGTAATACTTTGGCTGTCATCACGAAAGTACAAAGAAAAATGATCGATTTTAATACCTAAATGACACACTAAATTACTATATGAGTACCAATTAAGCATTCTATCGTAGCAGTTGCACGTAGCATATGCCAAAGGGCGGCTCATGACGCAGTCTCCGAGGCAAAAGCAAAGCGGTGGTTCCAACGTTTTCGCAGTGACAGATTAAATAAGTCCGAGCATCCAGTGGAAACTGATTTAAATAAAATCAAGACATTGATAATTGAAGATCCGCGAAGCGGTACGCGTGAGTTTGTGAAGAGCTCAGATGCTGTCATGGCACAATAGAAAATCATTTGCATCCTTGAGGGAAGACTTACAAGTTTGGTGCTCTGATACCCCACCAGTTGAGCAAAGATCAACTTATCAAAAAGTAGTTTGTAAATATCTTTTATCGTTTCTCGATACATTTAACTGGCAAGGCTATCTAGTTACTAGAGACGAAAATGTATGCAAGCCTCAGTGGCTGGATCTCAACGAACCAGGCAAATCTATACCTAAAAGTAGTCTTCCTAGGTGAGCTCTCAGTGTGGTGGGATGGACTTGGAGTAATGTGCTGGGAAATTCTAACTATTGATTCTATGAGATCTACGACAGTGACAATGCTCGACCTCATATTGTTAAGAGCATCCAACAGAAGCCACTGTAGCTGAACTGGCAAATGATGCTACATCCTCTAAATTTGCCGGATTTCACTCCAACAGACTTTATTCCGATCGCTCAGTAATCGTTTACTGGAAAAAAGCTTTGAAAATGACTTGATTAAATGCAAATTTTTGCCTCATCGCTAGTAAACAGTAGATAATGATGGTGATTATATTGTCGACGACTTTTTTATTTGTGTGTCGCTGATTTTTTATTTATTATCCAACCCTATATGAGGAGGATCAGCAGCGCAATTTGAATGCTTTTTATTCTATCCGCTTCCTACGCTACTAGATCGGTATTTGAAAACAAAGAGACTTTTTGTTCCCCAGAAACTGTCAGAAAAACAGACATACGGACCGACCCATAAGTCTGATTTTTCAGGATATTATGCGGCAAAACATCATAATCCTCAAGGCCACTCATTCTAACCTTCTTTTACAAAGTTAAGTGTGGGCGTCGTGTCGTTAACTTCCAAATGATGGGATATTAGACCCCCAAACACCAGTTTATGGAGTAGTATCCCTTTTATTTGGTACCTTACGTTCAGTTGTTTTGGTTTGGGTGCTACCCCGTCCATTTTCTTATGGGAATTTACACTTTCAGCTGGTAAGTTATTTTTTTATGCTATTGGACCACGTGCATTAATGCATGTCCTGAAGAAGTTTGTTCAATGTCTGCTTCCTTTTAGTGAGAAGGCATTTTTTTGCGCAAGGAGAAGGGGTGGCTTCCAAGCAATATCAGGTGCAAAACAGTTACAAGGCAACTACAAAACAAAACTGAAGGAGTGTGAATGGTGGTTTTCCGCAATGCCTTCCTACGCTGAAGGTTAAAAAACCATAAGAAAATGGACGGGGTAGCACCCAAACCAAAACAACTAAACGTGAGGTACCAAATAAAAGGGGTACTTGGGGGTCTAACATCCCAGGATGCGGAAGTTAACGACACCCACACTACAATGTCCACAGGAAAGTAAAAAACTTTGCAAAAACGGTGAAAATGTGGAGGGCATGTTCGATAGGAAATCAAAGGAACGGAGAAACTTCTGAGTTCGTCGTTAATAAAATACTATAACATTAGTGTCCAAAAGATTTCAACACAATACTGAATTACTGAAATTTGACAAAAGAAAATCATTGAAAAGGGTTTGGCCTTGGAATGGGCACTCTACCATTAATAAAGAGAAATTCAAAAAAAGGTTCGTACTTATCAAAAGCCGAAGCGTAAGTTCGCAGATTCTTTATTAATTCAGTTAGCAGGCCAGAAATGACCAATTTACATATAATGCAAGATATATCTCAGCGACTTGGATCGCTGCACGTAACGTCAATACTTAGGCGTAAGGATAAATTCACAGCGCGTTAGGCTACGATTACTATGGATGCAAATTTTTTATTTTTGTAGTCAGTGCGTTTCTGTCGCACAGCAAATATGGACGAAGTTGACAGATTTTATTTTCTTGAATGTCCTGTACTGAAGTTACTGTTGTGAAATAGTGTCAATCCAATATATTCCAGGAGAGAAAAGGAGAGATTATTAGTAATTTTCGTCTCTCATATCTCATATTTCACAATAAACTGTTATGGAGAACAAAATTTCGCCAGAATTCGTATCCATAGCAACCGTAGTGCTCGCTTTTCAAATATATAGAACAAAACGCGCGTTAGTCGACGTCGAGGCGCGAGTTCGCGTTCCCAGTATTAATTATGTGTATTTTAAAAGCGAACTAGCTCCATGTTTTTACGTTAAACAAAAAATACAGTTAAACATGCTTCATGTACTAGAATAGACAATCAACGTTTGAAGGGGAAGTGTTTGTATCGTCTAAAAACCTATAAAACAAAAATTAAAAAACACGAAGAAAGGAAACAACTTAATAAAAGCACATCACATCAGTACCAGTACTTCCGAATACTTTTCAGATACTTACTAACACGGGTAACGGCTTTATCCTGAACAACTAAATAAAAAAGAAAAGAAACAGGTTAATGCCAAAAAAGTCACGAAAAACGATCACAAGCTTTGCCGAAAATTTTAAGTAGGTCTGAGTATTTGGCGTATTATTAATTTTTTATATAATATTTGCTAACAATTTGAGGATACAACTACAAAAATGTTTGGATCGATGAACATCTAATTCAAAATGAATTTTTAATATCGACCATATTTGATCGTAAAATTTTCAGCAAAACTGTTTTCTAAATACTCTTACACCAAAGCCTATAGCCAATTAATTGAAACGAAATTTATACAAACAATACTAAGTATTTTAAACAAAATGTTGACATAGATGATATGTTGGAAAGAAATGTATAAACAAAGTTTAACCTGTGAGCATATGGAATTATGGATTAATACAATACAGTGTAAGTGAAAAAAGACGGAAAACGTATTTTTCCTATCCTCAGGAATTATGGAGTGTTTTGAAGAATTTGCCCATCTAAGAAGATCGTAATTAAATATTTGGCAAGAATGAATCAATAAACTACCCTTATGAGAAAACTACGAGTCAGTTAGTATAAAACTTGTGAGCCATTCAAAACTTGAGATTCTTGACAAAGATAAACTATCTGAAGTATGTTTTTCGTTAATTTTATATTTACGTTTGACATTGTGATGACTGATATTTCGAAAAAGAAGAAATATATCCTTTTTTACCAAAACAATTAATGCCGTGACATTCCGCTTTTAGCTAGGAATGTAGAAGTGTACTATCGCCTCAAAATTGACAAAATCTCAGGTTTAATCAACAACTTTTCCTAATAGTAATAATTTTTCCTTGTCTTAGGCCCGTATCGTCAGTCGTCCCTACAATTGTAGGGCGCGTTTATGGCCTCCTTGATTGTCATACTCCTTTCCTTCAAAAATTTCTAGATTACACTTGTCCCGTGTCAGCGTTAGTGCTCTCCTATTGTGAAGATATGTTTTCTTTTTAAATTGTGGGAAATTTCAGGCTGATAAAACATGACATAACTCAAAAGCAAGCACAATTTGATGCAAAAAGTAGTTTGTGACATAACCTCAAAATAGATTTCTGACACGGAGAAGTATAAAACTATGATAATCAAGGAGGCCATAAAGGCGCCCTACAATTGAAGGGACGACTGACGATACGGGCCTTAATCCGTAGATTAAGTTAGTAATGAGACAGTAATTGTTGGCTTTGTCAACGCTCTTCAGGCAGGTAATAAAACAGCTCGACACGAATTGATATTGTCAAGAAGACGTCAATCCAATGCCTCTGGATTTTTTTTTTGATAAACCGCAGCTGTAGGTATATTCATCATTCCATATACACACAGAGGAAATCCTGTACAAACATATCCATTATTCATTAGGTTGTATTCAAATCGCGAAAATGATAAATGGGTATAGTATCAGGTATGATGAAATGTGCTTTCATACAAATCAACGGGGGGCAGGCTGACCAACCAAAGAAAAAGAGAAAAAGAAGGACAAATAAAAGCATACATTAATGCGGTGGTGGATATACACAACAATCAGAGTTAATGAAGATAGATGTTTACAGTGCATTTGAAATGTTGGTTGAAATCACACAGCTGTATAGCTTGTTGCTGATAGTGATACGAATTCAATATACTGTAGACGCATACATGCAAGCTTGTCTAGTGACATATAAATCCGAACACCCAGTTTAAATGGTTTTATTTTAATAAAATTTTGTATAAGTACTTAATGATGCATAAAAAGTAAATGATAGAAATTTCAAAATGATTGCACTGCTTTAAAGCCCTTTGACCTTTAATAATGTGTGGATGCACCCTGATGTGCTACGCATTCTCCAACGCGCCTAGGCATGCTTCTGATCAGGTGGTCAATGTCCTCCTGTGGTATCTCATTCCAGGCAACCACCAACTCCTCTCGAAGTGCTTCTAGAGTCTGAGGAGGACGTTGCAAATTGAGCAATCTCTTACCCATCATGCCTAAACAAAATCCAGACTCGTCACTAAAGACAATACTGTTCCATTCCTGATCCCAGAGTGACCACTCAAGGCGATTACGTTGGTGTTCTCGAGTTTAAGTGAGGACCCAGTGTGGCCGGTATGAAAACAAGCCAAAACTTCTCATTCGTCGGTAAACACTTCGCATGCCAATAGGTC